GCTGTTGTTCGAAGGGCAATCTCGAAGCTATTCGCTGCACAGTGGAATAACAGTGAGAGCCGATCCAAAAGAAACAAAAGTAACTTGGAAGGCTGAAGATTCTTGCGAATGCTGTGGAACTAGGAGGCACACATGGACAACCTGCCCAAAAATATCCACAGCAATACAAAAAAGAAGATTTCTCATGGAAGCCAACAGATGTTTCAACTGTGGATCTAAGAATCACAGAATAGCGTCATGCTGGAGAGGCAACTGCAAAAAATGTCGCAAAAACCACCACAAAACCATCTCCCTGGGTAATAAGCCACGGAAGTAAGAAGCACCTAATAGCAGGCTTATGAATGGGCAGAAAAAGCGAGCTAGTACAGCCGATTCACTATCATCGTCCAACTCAAGCACTTTTGAACTCATAAGGAAGCACAAGCGACAACAATGTCAGCCGTGATGGCTACTGCACCCACACAACAAAAGAGGTTTTCGTCGTCTAGCACAGAATTCGACTCGAACACGGATGCACCGGTCACTATCGCTTTGGCGAGAGCAACAGTGAAGCCTTCTGATGCGCAGTCAAGAAGCACTTCTGGCTTATCAAGCGTTTCAAGGACTAATGCCGATGATTTAACAAAGGATGAAGTATTAACTGTGCACCGTTTATGGGAAGATTTTCTGGACTTCAAGAAGAAGGTCGAGCGACAGCACCAAGAAGTGCAAGAATGGATGCAGAGCATGAAGCGCGCAACCTTTACAACACAGGAAAGAACGAACACTAGCAGTAACCGAGAAATGATCCACACTCAACAAAAGAAAGGTCCACAAGAAACTTCTCACAAGAAACCGCAATCCTCGGAAAAGGCTACGCAGCCGAAGAATGAGATGAGAAGACGACATTTTAAGGATCACAGACATCTGAGGAAGTCCTTTGCGACATCGCAAAAGAAGTCAAGCACAGCAACGAGCCTGCAAAAGGAGAGCGAAAGCGAAGAATGGCGAGACGTCGCATCGGAATCCAAAGGTGCACAGAAGGGAAAAGAGCGCAAGCGGATTACAGTGAATGGTCAAAGAAGACAAGTACCAGCACGGGGCAAAGAAGAAGAAAGCCAGAAGAGGCTCAAAGAGAAACGAACAGTCAGTCGCACTGGACGGGCCGGAGCATACGAACTCCATTCGTATCAATCTACGCGCCCTTCGGAACATGGAGGAAAGCTAAATAAAGGGGACAAGAGCTCCAGGCACAGAGAGGAGAACAAGCGGACACACAAACGGAACCCCAAGAACAGCACAATAGATAAACTGAGGAGATCCTCGGCATGGGTAGATGAAATTTGGCTCAATACCCGTGGCAACGCACCAAAGCTTTTGTCAAGTGAGCAGATCGCCAAGGACACCACAGAAAACACGGCATATAGCACAGAATTCGGTAGCGGAATAGCGCGACGAGGAAGAAGGTGGAGACATATTACCCCTTGCGCACCGTGGCAGGGTGCGTTTTACGAGAGTAGTATGCGCTGCATCAGGAAATCGTTGTTCGAAACGCTCGGAGCGCTTGCCATGGCTTTCGATGGACTCAGGACGACGCTCACAGACATGGAAGCAGAGTCCAACTCCCGATGGCGCTCACGACAGCAGCAGAAAATCCGAAAACGATACGGCACAGGAGGGCTGAAGAGATCGCTGAATGAAGGTATCGTACTGCCCAGGGACGCGGCACGACCTATATCAGCCCACAGTAGGAAGACCGATTCCACAGTCCAGATAGACGAATCACCACAGAAAGCCACAAGGGAAGCTGTTATGGCACATCCTGATGGACCCGGACTGCGACGACGGTCGACTCAAACTGCGCCACTGGAGATTGACAATGGAGAAGCATTCACAGCTGACAAGCAAGACAAAGCAACCCTATGCAACACCAATCAAGGAAAGAAGCAGCCAAAAAGATGCAAAACTACGAGTAACGACACGGAAGTCAAAGTCAACGACTATCACGACGACCACTTCACCATAGTGTTGCTCCACTCGTCTGCTGAGGCCGGAGGCAAAGTACTTTGATGGCTTATCAATGATTTTCTCATGCTTGCTTTTAGTATGTATACATTCGCTTACATATATAAGTGGCTGACACAGCTTAACGACCATTGCTATGAGTTTATATTATATTTTATTTTACTTCTCATTTTTGATTGCATTTTGGTTATTTCATCGTATTATTGATTGTATCCTTCCCACAGTTGCCTATGTCACTGTCTCACAGTTCACGGACTCAAAGTCCTTCCACAGATCCCTCACAGCGATCACAGGCTCTTTGGATTGCGTATATCTAACATATATTAGTCTGTTTCATTATCGTACCCGCTTTAGTTGTTAGTAGTTTTTTAGTAATAAAAGTTTAATTACCCAAGTTTGAGGTGCACTCGCTGTGCGTAAGTCCCGCGTGGCAGCAATCAATCACAGTACACTCACCGCACACACAGCTGACTCACCGACCGTGCAAGCAAGCAAGCATACTTCACGCGACTTCATTCGAAACGCGATTTTGCAATGTCCCATATGTTTATAATCATCATTATGGAAAGGGAGTATCAGATTATGAAAGTTACACGTACTATTCACCTGTATCTGCCTGTATTGGATGTGAGGGACCCGTCATACTTCGCCGAGAAAAGCCCAAAAGCGCCCAAAAACCCGAAAGCGCCAGAAAAAGCCGGAACGCAGAAACGAACTTTTGAACGAATTCTGACATTATTTTAATGTACAGACGACAGAAAATGAACCAAAAAGGCTAGGTTGCGAAATCATCATATGCCTTAGGGTGCTTTCATACCGCGCCCGCAGCCGCCGCTAGCAGCCCGCAGCAGCCGCCAGCAGCTCGTAGCAGCCGCCAGCAGCCCGTAGCAGCTGCCAGCAGCCCGTAGCAGCCACCAGCAGCCCGTAGCCGCCGCTGGCCGCCTTTGTCACCATACGCAAAATCATCAGATTCTTACCACTTTGATGCACCCGCCTTTGCTTCTGATCTTCCACGCTTTTTCTCCCTGTGGCCGACTGTATGTATTTCGACCTCAAAAATTAGACACTGTTACTGCTACTGCTATACTTGTGTCCATTTTTGTCATTATCTTTTTGCCGTAGATTGGTTATCTTTGTGGTGATCAATTTCCCTACTGCAGTGAACCATAGAACAGCCGAAGTCTTCTGTGATTCCCTTTGATTTTTAATGCGTCCAGTTTCTGTTTGTGCTATCTGTTAATTTCTAAACATGGTTCTGCTTCACTCTATTCCTTTGCTATCGGTGCTTATCTAAATTGCAGTCTACTACTTCTCAAGTTCGCTGAATTCACTTGCGGGGTGATTTCTTCCAACTTTGGATGCGTTCAGCTGCTATTTGTCTGCTTTTTTAGATCGAACTGCGTACGGGCGGCAAAAGGAAGAAAAAAGCGTGGAAGATGAGAGGCATAGGCGGGTACAATTAAATCAGTAATAACCTGATGATTTTGCGTATGATAACAAAAGCGGCCAACGGCGCCCACGGGCTGCTACGGGCTGCTGGCGGCTGATGCGGGCTGCTAGCGGCTGCTGCGGGCTGCTGGCGGCTGTTACAGGCTGCTGGCGGCTGCTGGCGGCTGCTGCGGGCTGCTAGCGGCGGCTGCTGGCGCGGTATGAAGGCACCCTTAGCTCCAAAACGTGCGCGCGGAAGGGAGCGCTCCTGTCTTTTCTGGCGCTTTTGGGCTTTTTGGGCTTTTCTCGGCGAAGTATGGCGACTTCCTGAAAGTAGTGGTTTACAAGATTGCGCCATGCGCTTTCGATAGGGGAGCTATAGTCGAATCATTTCATATGATCATGTATGTCACTGCACACACCGTCCAATCTGGCGTCCCCATTCTGGAATTGCAATCGCAGAAACACAAGAGACCGACCAGGGCCCTTCACCCTTCACGAGGTGGGCAAACGGGGTTTTCCAAAATGAGTTCTCCTTTGATCCCAATAGTTTTTACGAATACCCTCTTGAGCCCAAATACGACGCTTTGTGTGTGCAAGAGAGCACCGGCCACACTTCGCCTAAAAGCGCTCAAAAGCGCCCAAAATGCTCAAATTCCTCTAATTACTCCTCACCTGTATCAAGATGGAAAGCAGGAAGAAGAGTAAGCAAGAAAAATGATGAAGGAATAAAGAAATATTAAAGTAACGCAGTCATAGGACTGAGAGACACCATTCCCGCGCATATCGTTTGACTGGGGCGCGCTTTCCATCTTAGAAAGCTAGGCTGCTGATGCGATTTTGGGCTCTAATAAAGACAAGAGGAAGAGTTCCGGAACCAAAATCTCATGTAGCAAACTTTAGGTGTCCAACAGATTTATGTAAAAATTTTGAAAAAATTATGTGAATTGAAAGTTTGCCTACCTCAGGGGGCATTGGGTGGGCAATTGCCCACCTGGCTTGGAAAATAGTTGAGCACGCTCTTCATTCACATAAGTTCTACATGATCTTACATACTTTGTTCCTTAGCCCTCTGCGCTTATACACAGCGAATGTCGCGCGATTTCGTCATCTCTGTGTTGCAAACGAGCCATTTTTCCATTTTCTTGATAGTGGGAAATTTCCAGGAAAAAGCTTGCCACAACCTTCAGTCACATAATTTTTCAATGAAACATCTAAGTTAAGCCCTGCAGGCCCGTGTTCATGTACCTACCAAGTTTCATACCATATGGTCATCTGTACGCTGCAAACGAGCCATCTGAATTCACATCTTCCTTTACCAGTTTTGCAAATTTTTTGGAAAAAATGCTTGTCACTCCTCCCTTTCACATAAGTTTTTCATAATAAGTTTTTTTTATAATATTTCATGCTTTGTTTCCACTAGCCTCTCTTCGTTCGTTTTCGTTATTTGGTGCTATATCGTTACGCCTGCATTTGGGACTGATCATGTAATCATGTGCTATTCAAGGCATCTCTCATGCGACGTCGCGCACGCGGCAATTAGCGGCAACGCGGCGCAGCGCGCGCGAACTCTGCTGTGCGTTGAGGTTTATGAAAACTATTTCCCAGTGAATTAGATGTATGAGGTAAGCATGATTCGACCTTCTTTTGTTTGCATTTAATTCTTCTTCCGGGGCTCCGCCCCGGCTCCCGCGAAAACGATATCTGCTTTTTGGCTCAAAACGATTTCCAGCTTGCCATTTATCCACCTCGTGCAGAGCCCTGAGACCGACCGATTGTTATCGCATACATCACTTTGTGAAGAGTAGTACTCAAAAAGAGGAAAAAGCACGGGTTTCAGGAGCAATTTTCCGTGCATGGAAAGTTTGCTGTGCGATTGACTTGCTTGACTTGCTCTATTTTCATATTCTGGGAGGTAAGGATTAAGGAATTTAAATATCCTGGAAATGTTCAGTTCAAAGTGTCTTTGAATGATTATTCGTTGGACATCATGCCCCATTCCAGAGCTGGCCCTCGATTTATTAGCCTCGTAGCTCTTAACCACGCTCGTTTTTTAAGGCTGTATCTTTGCGTAGTGAGTTGAGCGCTAAGGCAAGGATGGAGTCCGTTTACATGTGGAGCTGGTTTCTCGTTCCTTTTTGAGTTTGTGATGATTTATCCTATCAAATAGATTCAATGTCAGTAATCGGCTGCATTGATTATTGCATATCTTCCTACATGTTGCCATGCACACGAGTACACGAAAACAACAATGAATCGTAGCTGAACGTTCAATCGATACGTATTTCGTGTTATTGACTAAGTTCATTTCATCCGCTATTTGTCACTCTTCTGCTCCTTGCTCGTTTCCTTCATATAGTCTGAACTTTTGCACGGTGATTTACATGAAGTACAACACAAAAAATCTCCACTACTTTGCTAGTAATGAATGAAATTACAAGCTTTTGTATTCATCTGATAGACAAGAAAATTCTGTATAGAATTCTTTAGACGGCATCCGAGATCTCCGCCTTGCCTTTACAAGAAATCATTCTATTTGGAAAATTTATTTACGATTGCGCGCAATCGTATTTAACGGAATTTCATCCGCGGCTCTCATCATCTTTTAGCAAATCAAATGACATGGATTTGACTGGGGGAGTTAGAAGTGCAAACATTTTTTGTTCAAATTAATTCACGTAAAGTTTAACTGGCTGCAAATAATTTATTATTCGGTCTTCAAACCGTCCCGATAGTCGTCTTCTTCATATTCTTTTGTCTCATAGTGGCCATTCCTGACTAGGCTACTTAGTTATAGTTCATCTAACTTGGAGATTGATTGACCACGGACGCTACGGCCGCGCAAACAGCAGCTCTTAAAAATTTCAAAAAGCGCAGACTTCGAAAGGCTATGGTACTTTGTTGGATTGAAGCGAACATCAGCTCTTCAGTGGAACCTTGCACAAGCCACAGCAAGAAGAAAGTACTGCATTTACTGCAGTAATGTGAAGTCCATCTTTTGGACAGTCGAACAAATAATGTTTAGCCTTTCGACTCACCCAATCTTGACCACGACTCTCTTTCTGGTCAATTTGAGAGTAGAAAGTCTGCTCTTCCGAATCCACGTCACTTGATTTTCTAGTAGTAGTAAAAGTAGATCTGGTGAGAGCCTAAGAAGAAACTCTGGGGTAAAAGAACTGTGCTCATGCACACAGGCTTGCTCCACCTCTCACACTCCACCCTACCACCGCTTCCTCGGAAAGGGTCAAGGGGAAGGGTCAGCGATTCTTCGCGAAAAATGCAGCAACACGACGTCAACAGTACATGATCCAGCATTTTTTGTGTAGTGTTACTGACGGCATCGAGTCGTGTACTACCCTTATTAGGATTGGTCACCTCGCCTCTCTGCACCTGAGCGTGCTCTCTAATTATTTAATCACGCATAATTAGCGAATGAAGTTCGGCCTTTCCTTCGCCAAAGTGTGCAAGAAGATCAGAAAGCACGCCTACAAATTCAGACATTCGTGATTAATTTCGTGCAGTAGATTGCCCAGCAAACGGGAGATCGCAAAAAAGAATCGGTCTGCTACAGCACAAGCGCTTTTGTCGCGGCTTTCGGGCTAAACGCGATACTAAAACAAGACGAAAGAAAATCGCGACACCCTGTCGCGAATTTCGATTTACCTGCGATTGCATGTACGAAGCCAAATCAAGTGTGCTTCATCTTTAGTATGCGTCATTTTTGCTCCTCAGCCTAAATCCAAATGCTTTTTTTTGTTTTTTTCTTACTGCATCAATTTTGTAATGGTTTTTCGTCGCATCTTATCTCACAAGCTTCCCGAGCAAACTTTTGAAGTTGCTGCTGTTATCTTATAATTTTCTTACATTTTCTTCCAGCATGATGCACAAGTACTGTACCACGGCCCTGCTTCACCAAATGTAATGACATAGGCAAATATCGCGCAAGAAACTCTGTCAACGGCTGAATTTTAAAAATTTGACTGGGTACTTTTCACTTTTTTCATAAGTGATTTTCTCAATACCCATCTTAGCGGTACAAATTTCAATAAAAACAGATGCAAAGCTAATACCCGTTGACACCAAGTTCGTAGATTTATGTACCGATCGCTATCATGTACAGTCATCTTGGTGGATTATATTGCGGCAATATTCATAGTAGAAAAAAAGCCAAAGAAAGCTTTTCTCTTGAACTTTTGAGCTTTGGAAAAGATAAAAATTTGCAATTTCTCTAAGTCGTGGACAAATTGAGCCATAGTTGTTCCTTCCAGGACACTGCGAATATAACTCTACTTTCTTCAAAGAACATGAAAAAAATATAATGAAGAAGAAGCGAGCAGCGTAGGAGTGCTATTGCACTAGTTGCAAAACAGAGTGAGGAAACACTCTTACTAGAACGTAGGACTGAAGCTTTGAGACGAAAATATTAGGGTGATCGGTAAAAAATGGGGCAGCTTGATTTTTACTACATTTTGAGGTTTTTGTTCTCACCAACAACAATCAGACTGCAACTCAAACGTCGCTTACATAACCGACCTTCACCTATTATTCTGGCAACGCGTTACCGCTCCTCTCTCATGACCGTACGCGTGGCGCCGTGAAGAATCAAAAAATATATTAATCCTACAGGATTTCGTTCTATTTCTGAATAAAAAAAGCGAAATACCTGAAAAATCGCGATTTTTTGGTGCAATAAAAAACCAAAAAATCATGTTTTGCCTTATATTTTCCGAACATAGATGAAATCTGAGGTAATTTGCATATGGATGGATAGAGCGTACAAATCTCTAATAAATGGTACCTAGAAGACATGCATTTACCTGCGAAGAATTGAGTAACGTGTATCTTTGTTCCCGAAGCTGCTAATGGCCATATCTCCTGACTTTGAAAGTTGAGGCCATCAAGCGGTCGTGGGTTCAGTGACTGTCCCACCACCCATTCCAGCAGTGGTATTTTGGGTGGTCTCACATGTTACACTGCGTAGATACTGCCCAAAGTTTATAATTTGTCAAAGTGACTAACTTTGCATTTCAGCCACTATAAAAATCATTACGTATGTAAATGACCTTATATAGGCATTTTCTGAAAGAGAATAATTTATTCTATTAGGTTGTCCGGAAATTGATGCCCGTTTTAAATTTCAACCGCACTAAGTCATACATTTCTCACCACTAAATAGGTTGCAAAGTACCATTCGATAGAGCGGAAATCTTGCTTTTGCAACAGCTCTCATCCATCTCGAGTTTCGAGCAGAAAACTACAAAGACTCAGCAGTCCAAAAAATCGAAAAAAATCGTAACTCAGTTCATAAAAAACCTACAAAAATTCTAACTTGTTCACACAAACACTATCCACATAAGACATCAATATACGCCGTTGTCGTATTTTTTTTTTCTCTGTTAGAAACCAAGAAAACGGAAATTTTCATGCATTTGCCAAAGTGATGCTGTGCCGTCCCCACATAGGTAGTTGTATACCACAAACCTGTAGAAGTACAGACTTAAATTTTCAGCTCTCTACAAGCTTTAGTTCTTGAGAAATACCGAATATAGTTTTCCCTAGTTAGGTGGTCCAAGCTAAAATTCAAATTTCTCGAGAACTAAAGCTTGTAGAGAGCTGAAAATTCAAGTCTGTACTTCTACAGGTTTGCGGTATACAATTACCTATGTGGGGACGGCACAGCATCACTTCGGCAGATGCATAAAAATTTCCGTTTTCTTGGTTTCTAACAGGGAAAAAAATACGGCAACGGCGTATATTGATGTCTTATGTGGATAGTGTTTGCGTGAACAAGTTAGAATTTTTGTGGTTTTTTATGAACTAAGTTACGATTTTTTTCGATTTTTCGGGCTGCTGAGTCTTTTTAGTTTTTGGCTCGAAACTGGAGATGGATGAGAGCTATTGCAAAAGCAAGATGGCCATCTTGTAGAGCTTGCTTTGCTCTATCGAATGGTACTTTGCAGTATATCTAGAAATGAAGAGTGTATGACTTATTGCGGTTGAAATTCAAAACGGGCATTAATTTCCGGACAACCTAATAACAGCCATCAAAATTGGGAAGTTTAACCACTTTTCTTCTTTGAAAAATCTAGTTATTCTCTAAGTGCCCCATTTTTTACCGATCACCCTAACACATTCGGACATATAGACCAAAGTTTTCAAGTAAAGCTTTTGCGTCTGATTGCTTTTGAGTTTGATTTGCCCTTTGAAGCTACTGGCCCTTTCATTGATATTTCGAGCAAGGGGACAAGGGGCAAAAAGCTGCTCTAAACTTTGCGCATTACTTGAATGGAAAAAATGGCCGAATACCCTTTGATAGTCTAGAGACAGAGTCAAAACTGAAGGTTGTTTGAATATCTGTTTTCACATGAAGGTTGTTTTCAAAAAAAAGAAAAAAGAAAAGTGCAAAACAAGTGGCAAAAGTAGAAGAAACCTCAATCGATGAAAACGCTGCAATGAGTTTGATATCTTTCATTTGGCGGCACTTCAAATTGCAGGCTTTCGCTCCAAATCCAGGCAATCCACAACACGGGGGGGGGGGAGGGAAACCAGGGAATGCTAATTCTCCTTTGTGTGAATGTTTCAAAGGACACGTTCGAAAGTGATGATTGTAGAGAAGAATAAACGAGAAAAGAACACTTACGAAAAAGTTTTGCTCTTTTCTAAGTCCGAATGCAGGTTAAAGACAATCTATTTTTGGTCATTCAAATTTTCACACCATTCTCGTAATTTCTGTTTCTGGCGACATTGTCAGCTTGGTTATGGTTACTTACTAACTCTAATATAGATCTTCAAACAAAAACGCACTTTTGCAGCTTTTTGCCAGATGTAATCACAATTGAAGAAGTTAGCGCGACGCTGTCCACTATGAAGAGAAGCAAAATCTATCGAATGCAACTGGAGGAAAAACAAGGGTCTTCGAAAGCATGGTTTTGCTAGGTTTCTCGTACACATAAAAAAATGGGGTTTCGCACGTTGTCAGCGGAAAAATGGAGATCAAGAGCTTTAATAAGATATACAGTTTGTTAGAATTGGGTTAGGAAAGAAAAGTGCACCAGATTCGCTTGCATCAGCATCTCCACTCCCGCGCTGGACTCTGCGTCTCTTCCGCAAACATGCTCTCTAATCACTTCCAATTGATTGGGGCTCCGCCTTTCCCACGCTTGCCCTGGGAAAGTGATCAGAGAGCATGTTCACGGAAGAGACGCAGAGTCCAGCACGGGAATGGGGATGCTGATGCAAGCGACACTGCGTTTGATAAGCCCCGTACATTTAATGTCAATCATGTTCTCCCTTTTCTCTCACCGCGATCGCCACGACAAACCTCCGCCCCCGCGTTCACGCGCAGTTTTAAGCAGTCAGTTTCTCCTCATTTATAAGGGCTTCCAAGCACTCGCGTTGCGGTGGGTAGTTCTTACGCAAGAGGCAGTACTAGGCGGATATAGACTATACGCACTGTGGTTTACATATTTCTCGCTTATTTAGCTCGAATTCGGAGAATAATGGTTCATCTTCGAATAAGAAATATATATATATCCCGTACGTTTCAGTCCAGGACCTCATGCTGTTTTCACTTTTGTTGTAGCAGTTACTCACTGATCCATGTATAAAGCGTGAGTTCTCTCAATGGAGCAAACTAAATATCGTTGTAATAAATCACTTGACACTATAGAAATATTGGCACCATTTGACGAATATAGGCAAAAGCAGAGAAGAACTCTCGTCTAGCTCCGTAAAATCTGTGGAATAATGCGTACTCGTGCACTTTTTGACACTCAGTAACTGCAGGCTACTCAAGTGCATACTTCTATTCCGATTTGGTCGAGGCGGAGCCACAGTTGTCAGTCAGCTTTCCATTTGTAGGCAATGTTTAACACTGAATCGTATCGATGCGTATGCCCTCGGTACATCCCTGCGGCTCCGCCTAGACCCAACCCAGGAGCGAAGGTTGGTAGGGTTTCATTTTTCGGAGTGTTTTGTGTTGATCTGTCGCCGTCAACTAGTGTTAGCTTTACACGAGCGAAAGTATCTTGGCAGGTTTTCAGATGTTCCACGTCATCTGCTCTATGCCAAATTCGGATCACTCCGAAGCTGATAAGAAGCCCAAAACCAAAGCTCAGAAAACCTACGCAAGAAGATTTGTGAGTTTGTTTATGTTTATGGTATATGTTTATTAGCTAAATGCAATCATACACTCAGTGGTGCACAGCTATAGCCAAATTCTGCCTATAGTAACCCAAAAATGAGTTTTGAGTGCGAAATCACAGATTTTCAGGAGTACTCGCACGAGCAGATAATGAGTTTGAGAAATTCCAAAAATGTCGCAAGCAGCATTCTTCTACCACCTGGACTTGAATGGTAATTTTGAGAATAATTTTATCGAGACGATGAGTATACAATCCCGTTCGGTGGTATCGCTGCTGCTCGTAGGTCCGGATGCAATCCAAAACAAGTATTAAACAATGCAGAATTAGAAAAGCATATGCATACTCGCTGCTTCTCAGACAGTCGACGGGATACTTCCGGAGCAGATGGCAGGGTCGCGGGCTTTCCCCAACGGAGGATTGCCACTTCGCGCTCCGGAGCCCTGCCATTTCACGCATTTTTGTGCTCCGGAGCTCTTCCAAAAGTGGCGCACCTCCGGAGCAGAGTTTGCGCGTCGCGGAGAGGGGTCCCATTCGTCCTGTTTGTGACGTCACCGTGACGTCAGTGAATGAATGGGACCCCTCTCCGCGACGCGCAAATCTCTGCTCCGGAGGTGTGCCACTTTTGGGAGAGCCCCGGAGCACAAAAATGTGTGCAATGGCAGAGCTCCGGAGCGCGAAGTGGCAGACTCGCGCCATATGCCCGCCGGAGGTATCGCTTCGACTGTCTGAGTTAGAGCGCATGCGTCAGGGCATGTTTTTGCTACGGCACAGCGCATATTTTCATAGGCTCGCTCAGCAGTGAAAATAAAAAGTGCTGGATCGTAAAGGCCGCCCCTTATTTCTTCTTACAGTTTTGCTTTATAGTTTGTATCAGCATTAGATGTTAGGAAGTTTGTATTGATCATCAAACGAAAGAAGACGAATTTAAGTTTGAATCACTTTTGCAAGAACTGAGAGATTTTGGCTATCGAAGTGTGTATAACTTGTTCGCTAAAATCCTCTTTGGGGCTAAGTTAATGGGGTGTGGCACAATCCCAGAAAACTGTGACTGCCACACTCTTTCAGGGGTTGTGCGCACCCCATTGATGTACCTTCAGAGCATTAAAATATCTGTTTTTTATATTTCTCACTGCTAAACCTTCTTTTCTACAGTCGAATCATCGCATGTGATCATGTGTGTCACTGCACTCATTGTCCACCTTTGGCGTCCTCATCTTGAATTTTAGGAACAGGCAGCCTTTCTGCTAAGGGGAACGGAACTTAGGAACCCGAGCCTAATCAGCCCGACTCGGGAGGGAAGTGCCTGCAGGACACAGTCATGCTCGCTATCTCCCATAACTCCCTAGGACATGGCGACAGTCTAAGCCCCGCCCTCCTGAGAGCCTGTCTTGAAAGCTGGCCAAGTAATCTTGAAAATTCCAATTGAACTTCAGGTCGCTAAAACTGGCTCTTAGCTAAAAACCTTCAAAATGGTCGTACGAAGATGAAATCATTCAAATGAAAGAGAAATACCGCGCCGCCATTATAGCGTATCTACTGATCAAAACTGATGGAACTCAAAATTTAAAATTTTGTTCAAGTGTTAAATTCAGAAAAAAAAGACTAGGAAATTACTTGAAAAATTTTCAAGCTTTTCGAAAATAATTTACTTGAGTGTTAATTTCAAATTGAAAGGGCCAAAGACTAGGAAATCATTCAAGAAATGACAGTGCTGAAATTCGGGCGAAAGACCAAAAAGCCTTTCAAGGAATAGAAATGACAATTTAGAAACTTAGCGGTAATAATAGTTTAGTTGTATGCAAAGTTTGGGCAAAAAATTAGGAATTAATCAAGAAATGACATTTCAAGTTTTCAAAAATAAGAGTTTATTTGTGTTCTGAAATTCGCGTAAAAGACTAGAAAATCATTCAAGGAATGACAATTCAAAAACTTCACTGTTTATATTGCAAAGATGGTCAATCAACGACAGACGATTCTGATGTGGGAAGAACATCCGGCAATTATGCTGTAAGCAATGTCCTTAATCTACAGCAAGAAAACGTTGGAAGAACAGTTTGAGGCGAAAATTTCCTTATAAATGGAACATAAAGTATGGATATTACCTATCGTTACTATCGATAAGCTCAGTTTTTATTTTTATATCTTTTTTTTGCAGGCAGCTCTACTAGTTATGAATACTAAATGTCATGTTTTGAATGTCTTTTACCCGAATTTCCCCATATAAATGAACATTATTCTGAGGAATTTTGAACTTTCACTTCTTGAATGACTTTCTAGTCTTTTTCCCAAACTTTAGCACACAAATAAACTTTTATTATTGTGAAGTTTGTATACTATCATTTCTTGACTGATTTTTTAGTCTTTTGCCCGAAATTCAGCACTACGACTGATTATTTTGAGAAGCTCTTGAAATGCCATCTCTTAAATGATTTTCTAGTCTTTTGCCCAGATTTAGCACTCAAATAAATTATTTTTGAAAAGTTTAGAGTTTCTTGTGTAATTTCCCAGTGTCTTGTCTGTTTTTGACACTTAAAAAACTTTTGTAACAAAAATGTTCCATCATTTTCATTAGTAGATGAATTATAATGGCGGCACGGTTTTTCTCTTTCATTTGAACCTAATTTCACCTTCGTACGACCATTTTGAAGGTTTTTGGCTAAGTGCCAGTTTCAGCGACCTAAAGTTCAATTGGAATTTTCAGGATTCCTTGGCCAGGTTCCAAAACAGGCAAGGACGGCGGGGCTTGACTGTCGCCATGTCCTAGGGAGTAATGGCAGATAGCGATCATGACTGTATCCTGCAGGCATTCCCCAAGTCGGGCTAATTAGCTCGGGTTCCTAAGTTCCCTCATCCTTTCTACCAAATGTTTCTGATGTTTTCTTCAGCTTCTTCCTACTTTTTAGGTACCACTCTTCACAAAGTGATGTAAGCAATAACAATCGGTCGGTCTTTTACGTTTCTGCGATTGCAATTTCAGGATACGCCAAAGGTGGTGTGTGCAGTGACACATGATCATATGAGATGATTCGATGCACCAGAAATTTGGTCAAAATCGTTTCTCATTGGGGAAGAATATAGTCGTTTCTTCATACCTATGCAGATTGAAAGATACTGCGAAATTATTAGGTTACGATAACAGGTTAATAGGTTTGCGATACTACGCAGATTGCGAGGGAAGGGCGAAAATAAATATATACGATAGCCTAAAGCTTTTCACTTTCACAAAATTGAGCCCTGAGCCTGGTTGGTCTTTTCCATCCTGGGATATTGGAAGCGAAGAATGGGACAAAAGAGATTTTGACTTGCTTTTCTTTCCATAATTTGGAGGTTATGAGGTGGGATTCATGATGCGAGCAAAAAAGTAGTAGTTCTGTGTGTCAAGTGCAAAAAAGTAGTCCATCCATCTTCACAAAAATAACATGTCCAAAAATGACCATTTCACTTGGATTATTGATTAGGGATTATTTGCTACGCTACTTACGAAAATGATGATCTTTGGCATGTAGAGCTCTGTTATTATGCTTAACTTATATAATATACCATATCGTGAAAACATCGTGTGCTATTAGGTCATTCGGAAAGTTTTTTCGTTTTCGTATCTTCGAATTCAAACGAGCACCATTTTAACCAGGTCCAACCTTTTTCCATCAAATAAGTTTCATTGTGTTCAGCAAGTATCTGGTAACAATCTTATAGTGCTCTTTTGCATTTTTTCTGCGTAATGATTTCAGAGGAATCAATAAGGCCTAAAAAGGCGTTTTTGACTAGCTAATCTTTATTGGGTCCTATTCTTTTTCAGTAGGCACCGAGGATTTAGAAAATTTGCTGATTGGTAAAGGAAGGCCTAGAGAGTTCGAATAATGATCAGGAACCTCGGTGCGCAGTCACCCCGTTTGTGAGTGCCACCTATCTTACATGTGGTTTGGCGGCGTCATGGGCGAGGATGGCAACTCTCATAGATTATACCTGCAAGTCTGTTCAGTTTTAAAACTTTGACTAAGCTCTTCAAAGCGATATCACACTACTCTGCGCTTGCAGTATAATCGCATCTTAGCAAGTTTGTAGCGTGCAAGACCAGCAGGAGCACATTAATTTGAGTACATCAACCTTTTGGAATGACTGATTGTTTTGGCCATGCTTTCAATGCTTATTCCGAATAATTTACCACAATGTCGCTTCTTGTAGCCGTACTTGGCCAATTTTTTGCTGTCATTAATAACCCAGGTCAAGAAAGGATTGCTCCATCAAGATATGAGCAACGAAAGCAGAGTCAAAGTGCCCTCAATCTGCGACTGCGACAATTCGTGGGGTATATATCACTGACACTTTTCGGTATTGCAGCTTTAGCGAAAGTGGCTTCTAATGGGGCTATGTGACACTTCTAGGCCTGCTGATAATTTTACGCAGCTATATTTGCGATTTGCTCTAAAGGACCCTCTGAGATGCTCGTTTATATGGCAGGAAGACTTCCAGAACACTGCAAATCATTAGCGTTCACTTCTCTAGATCTGAAGTTTTCGGAGTAAACTTGAATCTATCTCAAGGAAAACGTGGCCTTGGCAAATGCATTGCGCACAATGATGGTTTTCTCAACTAGTTTACCTCCAAGTTTAAGCTTAGAGAATGCAATTATCCAAAAATCGCGTTTTCATGTCGAGATTAGCGCCGCGTAAACTTCCCTACAAAGCGCTTGCTGCAACCTCAGTGAGATTTTCAGAAACTGGGAGAATTCCCCTACAGATCTTTATATAGCAACCCCTATCAGCCCTTTGACAGTCTCCCAAAATAGGGCAGCTACATCAAAGTCGCAAAAAGCGAAAAAACTTTCCGAATGACCTATTATTATTCTAAATGGGCCTGTCTGCCATTGTTAAAGGATAACTTATCGTAACATCATCTCGATAACAACTCCCCCTCCTAACCCTGATCCTCATAACCCTCTGAACGATATAAAAATCGCCTAGCGATCTGAAATGAAATGCATAGTATCAGGTGCAATTGACGACCTGTTTCCATCTACTGTTCGTCGCTTCATTGGAAGGAGTCATGAGCATTTAAAAGTTCATCTTGAGACTTATTCTATGCCATATATTCGAGAAATTTCGGTCAAAACAATTATTTATTCAGAATTACCATCCCAACTGCATCCTCTCAAGCTGGACTTGAAGGCAGTGCGTCGGCAGAATGAGACCCGTGGCAAAAGAAGGTCACAGGGTAGGAGCCCCGTAATGGAACCTATGGGCCAAAGTTCGGTCTTTCTGTGCCACTTCTAACCCCCGAAATTTCAAAGCGAAAGAAGGGCTCATCTCCTGTCCTCTCCGAACCCGCCCACCCCATGGACGAGTGACTTCCACGGTCAGAGCACCAGCCGCAATGCTATAAGCATGAGGTCCCGCAACGACTCTACGTCTTCGCCATGATGGGCTCCGCGTTCACTCGTCCATGTGGTGGGCGGGTTCGGAGAGGACAGGAGATGAGCCCTTCTTTCGCTTTGAAATTTCGGGGGTTAGGAGTGGCAGAGAAAGATCGAACTTTGGACCATAGGTTCCATTATGGGGGCTCCTACGCTGTGGCCTTGTTTTGCCACGGGTCTCATTCTGCCGACGCACTGCCTTCAAAGCATACTACTATCTAGAACTCCAATGATTTAACAGATTCAAACGTTCATATTTTTGAATAATCCAGCACACATCGAAGTTGGATGGGATCTGCCCCATCAAGAAGCATAGATTGATATGCATCATACTCCAGATCGCCGACCAGGGATCCTTCGCTTGTGAAGGGAAAATTTTTAATTTCGCGCCCAAATTGCACGCAGCGGTTGTGGCCGAAGTCCACGGATTTGTGGTTCAGCACAGAATTTCAGTTAGCATTTTGCACGTTTTGTTGCTAAGAATGTGTCCTTTGGAACAAGCTTAGTGATTTGTATATAAGGATGAGGATAGTTACATTCGAGCGGATATGTCTATGTACGACGAACCAGCGTGACACTTCTGTAGACTTCTAAATGCTTTCGAACTCAATATCACTCTTGATTTTCAGCCTCTACAAATTTGAAGGGATTACCGGCTCATCGTGGAAGCCCGTCAAGGTAGGCTGCAAAACTTCTTTATCAGAAATCGAGTAGTCGGATAAAAACTGAGAAGCTTTTCTGACCAGAATGGCTTTTCCTATGAAACGTATATCAGCAATTGCGTCATAATGTGTTTTACAGCCTGTTTTTATTATCTGCAAATATTCCTATGTAGTCATGTTTATTAGGGTCAAAAATTTGAAGGCGCGTCTGAAATAAAGCATACAGTTTCTGAGTTTTAAATGAGGAATGAGTTTCGATGTGCTCAAATGGAGCGTTGGTGTGTATGAAGTGTGGCGTATAGAATGATTTGCTATCTCTTCTCCCTTTCAAGGGCAATGTCCATCGGTCTGAGGTCAGCAAGATTTGATTCAGCACAATAGCGAGTCCTTAACTAAGTAACTGCACAAGTCTCACTGCAAAAGGTGTGGTCCTAAGCAAGAACCACTCTAAGGGCCTCATACATTAACATCCCTGCTGGGGAGGGGATCGCAGCTTACAAAGAAAGCTTCATATCCTGAAGCTCCAGATATCTGGATTTCACGCTGTCTACCTATCCATAAGTATACCCACCATCGTTCACAATGAACATATTGCACAGAAATACAATAATTGTACAAGATGTATATTCCAGCCTTTTGTATGATCACCTCATAATCCTCGACGGCCGACCGTCTTTTTGAAGTCATTTTTCTTTCAGAATGAAAACATTTCCAGGTTGTACCGACTATCTAACCCAACAGCTAAGCATGTTGCAGATGTGAACAAATGATGTACCGAAGCCATGAAATTTGCGATGAACCACAAGTTCGTTGGGGTTTATCGAAAAATTCGATTTTTCAAAAAGTCATTTTTATCTATAACATGCTTAGTACTATTAGGTTAAATAGTCAGTACAACTTTGGGACGTTTTTACTAACTTCGAAGGAAGAAAAATGACCTCGAAAAGAAGACGGTCGGCCGCCGGGAATCACCCACAAAGAGCTGAATGCGACTCGTAATTTTTCTAGCTCCTGTGCAATATGTTCATAGTGAACGATGGCGGGAATACTTATATATGGATGGACAATGTGAAATTTGGATATCTGGTTAAAGGTAATGAACTCGAAACTATTCAGCAGCGTTCACTTTAACTTCTGAAGCGATTTTCCTTCGCACTACACCTTTTGCAGCGGGACATAGCAGTTGGGTGGCTTCGCTAATGTGTTTCATTAAAATGTCAGTCTCGAGTTGGAGATTTTGCCTCCAAGCGCACAAAAGGTTGTGAAAGAGGTTGTTTCAGCTGCGTTAGCTTTTTACCAACGGTCATAACTCCTCATGAGAAGGTCTTGCATAGTCATTCGGGATAGGTCTGTAATTTGCACATCATAGTTCATCTGCTTCATCATACATCTCCTATTGAACTGCTACTTTAGATTTTTACTTTGCTTCTGCAGATTGTTCATCTTTTACCAATTGTGTGTTAAATAAGTCCATTATAAGACTGTATTCAGAGCAGCACATGTCGGGATATGGCTCGTGACATCCTTCTGAATCCCATACTTAACGAAAGGATTCAGCTATGTAAGTTCGCAGTCCATGACATGAGACTCCCGCCTTCCAACTGATTAAAGTTTATAAACAGGTTTGCAAACGTCCTCTCTCTCTCTTCTCTCCTCCTCCTCTCTCTCTCTCTCTCTCTCTCTCTCTCTCTCTCTCTCTCTCTGAACAATTTATAAAATACTAGCTGGCTTACCCGGCTCCGCCGTATGTTCCGAATAGAAAATTCCATTTCTTAACCGATCCAGACCAAACTTGGCACACATACTCTTCGGGCCCCGGCGGGTGTCACAGTCCACTTTTCGTTATCGATCGATGTCGATTTTATCAATTTTTTTGCAAAATTTGAGCTAGGGGGCTGAAATTTGGCAGAGGGGTGTAATCGAGCATGCTGATCACCCCCACGGGGGTGATCAGCATGCTCGATTACCCCCTGTGCCAACTCCCAGCCCCGTAGCTCGAATTTTGCAAAAAATCGATAAAATGGATATCGATCGATGACGAAAAGTGGCCTATGACACCCGCCGGGGCCCGATGTGTATGCGTGCCAAGTTTGGTCCGGATCGGTTCAGAAATGGAATTTTCTATTCGGAACATACGTACAGACATACAGACAGACAGACAGACAGACATACAGACAAACAGACATTCAGCTTTATATATAAGATGAAAGAAAGTTTCTTGTTTCCTACTTATGTCTTCGTTTTGTAGATCTTCGTTCACTCTAAAGTTTATATCCAATTTTGAAAAAAAACATCTCAAAAAACTCTTACTTTCGCTCTCTCCTTCTGAGCCTAATACAACTGAGCTCCTAACTCATGGAAGAAAAACGGATTGCAACAAATTTTTCCGTCGTGACATATTTTTCTTCGCAAAAACCGTCGCAATGCTATAACTTTTTTAAACAAGTTTTCAAAAGAAACCGAGAACATCATCTTGCTGACAATGAGAACCTAGCGATTCAGAATAACTGTTAAAATTTTAAAATTGCTTTTATTTGATCTATCGCGACGTATTTGTCGCGACAAACCGTCGCACCGAATTAAGTTGCTTGAACATAATTTCATGGAGCAACAAGTAAACTTTTGGACTCCTGGCAGAATTTTGACTTAGAAGATGCTTCAAAAAATCAAAATGTCTATAATGTATGAAGTCTAAGACAACACTGGAATTCGTGAAAATTTTGTGAAATCATTGTTGACATTGCACTTTTCTCGGAACCATCAGACACTTCTTATTGGCAAATTACATTTTCAAAGATGAAATTCTCAAATAGCAAGCACTACTACAGTGGATGAAGTTTCGGCTGTTTTACTGACCGACTGCCTACAATACGGTCTCGATAATGTGGCACCATAATTACAATGCATGCGCACCTTAGTTCAAGTGCATGTATCTTGGAAGGCATTCTATATAACAGAACAGACTCACCTTGGTTTGTCGAAAGAGTCCTTGTACTCTACTGATAGTAAAGTTATCTGACCAAGGCTGCATAAATTTGAAATTTATGAAAATCGGCAGTTCGCGTCTGCAGGCTGAGTCGTTATTGAGACGCCAAATCAGCCTGCATCATGGTTGGTGATCCGAAATTATCAACGAAACAACGCAATGCTCATTGCTGTTCGATTTCTGATATAAATTTTGCTATTCATTCAAAATTTTCGTAAATTTGACCTAAGTTTGATGAAAACATTTCAAATATTAGGTTGAACACTAAGTTTTGCAACTTTTCTCATAACTTCACTCTCACTCAACATGGTGCACTCAAATTTAGCCACTGTGTTGGTTGTTATGTATACTACAAGCGCAGCTGCTGTCCTACCAAATTCTGACGTCGCAGTGAGGGTTACGGTAGGTGTATGGTATGAAGGGGAAAAATTCAAAGTTTGACGGATTTGGCTGAAACTTGGCATAGGGATGTTATCCGACATGCTGATCACGAAAGCGATAGTGAAATTGCGTGATAAGGGCTTTTTTGTAGGATTACTGTAGGTGTACGATATGGGGTCTCACCCTAAACAAGGAAAAAGGCGTTGATTCAACTAATGAACACGATATTCGCATTCGGCAGGTCAAATAACCTTACTATGTGAAGTCTCGGCGGAATTTGAGCTTCGGACTCTGTAGTCATTGACGGTCGTCCCCAGCAGCTCTTGCGTACATCGACTCGTTCGACTTTATGAGGACGCCAAATCTCGACATGCCCATAAATTTTGTTTCTTTCTTGCTAGGCCAAAGGAGTCAACCTTTTGCAATAATTTGTAGACGAATCCGGATTACTGCGCATGGTCTAGGCTGCCAAAGGCTTCATTTTAGCTTAAAACCTCAAAAATTCTCAAATTTTACTAGTTTTCGAAAAACGCCTACAATTTGTGCTCACTTGTAGCTCACATTGCATTCTAAATGATGCCAAAGTTTGAGTGCGCCATGTTGAATGAGAGTGAAGTTATAAAATAAGTTGCAAAACTTAGTGTTCAACCTAATAATCACTAAATGTGTCGTGCAAGAGTTTTTTGATTTTTTGAAGCATCTTCTAAGTCAAAATTCTGCCAGGAGTCCAAAAGTTCACTTGTTACTCCATGAAATTTATGTTCAAGCAACTTGATTCGGTGAGACGGTTTTGTCGCGACAAATACGTCGCGATAGATCAAATAAAAGCAATTTCAAAATTTTAACAGTTATTCTGAATCGCTAGGTTCTCAGCAATCCAACGATGTTCTCGGTTTCTTTTGAAAACTAGTTTAAAAAAGTTATAGCATTGCGACGGTTTTTGCGAAGAAAAATATGTCACGACGGAAAAATTTGCCGCAATCCGTTTTTTTCCCATGTGTTAGGAGCTCAATTGTATGTATCATGATAATTAATTTGCGTACGTCCGATCGCTATGCATTTCACCGTACCTGAAACTTTCAATGTAAAATTCTTCTTGTCCATGAACAGCAAGCAATTATCATCGTCAAGCAACCTGTTTTAGTTGGATCTCCCTATCTACGTGCTCTGGTGGAAGCCCACAAAGAACTTCGACGTTTGGAGATAAAGGAAGAATTTGAGAAGAACAAGGGTTGAACTTTCACTTTTCGACATCCTTACTGAAGATTCAGTTATTTCTCCAAAGTGTGCGTCTTTCCGACTTTCAGTGCATCATAATTCTGAATTAACTTTCCTATGATTGAAGTATGTTAAACTCCAAAAGTTCTGAAGACAGTGCCGCCATTTTCGTTTCCAGCATTTTGTGCTTCCTGGTCATTTCGTAGCATAGATCCCGAAGCTGCTCTAAAAGTGTGTGTAAAGGCAGAAGTTAAGGCGTTTTTGCGTTTTTGAAGAGACAGTGATTTGGGGGGTCGGCGTAACTAATGACGAAACAGTTGTTAGGTTTGCTTGAATGAGTTCAATGTGGATTCTACAAGTTTGGGTACTGACTTTTGCAAAGCGATATATAAGGATTGAATTTTTGAAGTTTCCTTTCATTTGGGGAATTTCACCTCTTTCGACGCCACCGAACGTCGCATGCTCATGAAAAATGGGGTTCCAAATACTTTTTGTAGTATTTGAGACGATAGACAACAGGACTGATGAAACATCAAACAGAAATTAGAAAACTTCCTTTATGGAGAAGTTTACGGGAATGCGACAGGCTTGTCTCATTATTTATATCGCGATGCTGTCTTCGATAAATTCCGTATACAACATTCGTTTTAAAATCCCCATATTTTTGAGGCTTTGCTAGGTGGAGAATCTCAAAATTATCTTATCTCAAAATATGTTTACATGAATAGTCTTTTAGCACGGAATGTGACGACGACTAGGGTGGGTATAGTAATTACATACTGATCTTATGATTTTTTTGGCGCGTCCTAGCTGTCAGATTTTTAAATAATCTATCGTTTGCCCTCTTTATAGAAATACGCCACCGAGGATAGTAGTCATTAAATCAAATTTCAATCTGGCAAATTTCAGCATAAATGGGATTTTGGAGCGAGAAGTCTCTAGGTTTTGATTGATTGATTGTCACATTGTTTGAAGATATGTGTTATATTTTTGGATTTTTATTTGCATGTCATTTGAAGTCTTTTTTCTTAGTATTCCTTTCATATCTATCCATTGCTTAACTTTATGTTTTGTCTTGCCATGATGTTGAAGTTGACTGGGTACAGAAGTTCTAATGGGTCTTTTTTTTTATGAAAACCTGTATAAAGTTTGATGCTTCATGAATGGGCATCTTCAGACATCGAGATCTTTTCGTGTTTGAGTTTTTCATCTTTTATCCGCCAAAATATCTTCATGATTCTATGATTTATGCATCTCTTAGGATCAGCCTCTTGTCAGTCCTCACAAGGGAGGCATCTGACTCGAAGTGGCTTTTCTAAACCAAGCAAACATCACTTGAAAGAATATAGATGCCAAACATAAAACATCCCTTTCAGTCAAACGATTCATCGGATAAAGTTAGGCATTTTTTTCTCCTCTTACATACAGGGTGTCCCAAAATAATGTGCACACTGTTTGATTTTGAATAACTCTCTTATTATGAGGTTTTTCGAGAAGCGGTAAGCGTCATTTTGTAGAGCTGGCTTCAATTTAGATTTGTAGTATAGAGCGAAACACCGACCTCTCTTCATTACTGTAGGATTACGGTAGAAACTTGAAAAAGGGTTTTGGGCCATGAAAGGCCATATTTTGCCTCAGAAAGGAACCAAAACAACCTGAGAACTTTTACACTAGGCCAATTAGAGTTGCTGATTTTAACTGTATAGTTCCCAACTTATTATAATGCTTCACTGAAGAGTTATGCGAGGTAAGCAGTAGCGGCCATTTTCTCAATGTTCCTAAAAAGTGCGGTTAAACCGTTTAGAAAGCTTCGCAATCTTGAGAATAGTTGAGTATTGAACTCGGCGTCCCTAAAAACCCTATTACACAAGTTTTCACATCTTTTTGAAAATTTTTGAAACGGCAGCTTTTTCCACAGTGACACCATATGTGTCAAGTTTCTACCGTAATCCTACAGTGATGAAGAGAGGTCGGTGATTCGCTCTATACTACAAATCTAAGTTGAAGCCAGCTCTACAAAATGGCGCTTACCGCTTCTCGAAAGACTTCATAATAAGAGAGTTATTCAAAATCAAACAGTGTGCACATTATTTTGGGACACCCTGTAGATTGCGTAGTTCAAATCAGTCCAGAGAAAGGATGACGCATGTCCAAAGTTACATTCTCAATTGTCTGTACTTACTAACACTGATTAGGAAACTTAAGTGAGAAACTTTTAGCAGCTAGTCGCTTACCCTGGTTTTCTAAGGGTTTTCGTTAATATTTGAAGTGATTTATAAGTTAGTAGGAATAACGTTTCGTGTTAAGCTCCAGAAAACTCAAGAAGGTTCTCGGGGTTTTGGAAGCACAGCTACAATACTTTGACGAGCCTGCCTTGTGGAAATGAAACAAAGCGCTCCTTCGTTATGTTTTGGGCTAGAACGTAAGCAAATATAACCAGAATCGAAAGACGGCCATTTCGCATGACAGCATCCAACAGCCACTCTCTGTGCGTTGTCTCGACACGTTCCCCCAGCATCGATACAATGAGTTCAGATTCTTTCGCTTTCTCGGAATTCTGCCTAACACCGCGTCTGCCTTTGCCAAGACCACAAGAGCTCTTGTATTTCGCTGCAGTATGCTTTCAATAATTCTATAAAAAAATCTAGGAGTAAAAAACACTTCACTGAATATGATCACCGCTCCGGCACTTTTTGAGAAAAATTTTTTTTGAGTTGAGCACCACCACAAAGAAACTAGGCACAGAAGCACGACGAAAACCCTTACTTCCTAAAAATTTCCTAGGCTGAACGAGCTTTAGCTACGAGTCATTTGTTCACATCATCTTTGCTCTTGGTACATTCTTTGACTCTGCTTCTACATTATTGCCCGTTCTAAGCCAGGGCAATGACCGCAACTTCACATGTAGCGGTCATTGCCCTGGCTTGAAGTTTGGGAAGCTTGCGGTCATTGCCCGACAACTGTCAACCAAAACTATCTCATTTTCTTTTTTCATTGAAGGCCATGCCGTAAAATGATAGTCTTTAATAACTTGAAGTGAAGTGAAGTGCAGGGGACGAACTCGCCCGTTTGAGTCTTATAAGGGTGCACTGCGTGAGCAAAGTTAGCAGCCGATACGAACTTCACGCTTTGGTAAGGCATACAAGTGCCATAGTATTCATCAGAATATCAAATTTTGTAAAATCACAGCTGGAATACCTCCACAAAAAAGTAGGTCTGGAAATGAGCCTGACTAATCACGACTATTACATACTTAGGCAATCGCAAACGACTTCCTGTGAAGACTTAACTTTACTTTCCGGGGGACGCTCCTACTGGGCCGTGTGGGTGAGCTTCGCCATCGGTCCCGCTCTGGATACCGCCCTACCTGGCAGCTCCAATGGGAGTGTTCCCCTTTTAGCAGTTTCCCCCCGACACTTGCGATTGTATGAGTAGACGAGTTCGGGAGCGCGCGTAGCCCACGTTCAATTACGAACATGTCGAACAAATATTTATATGCAGAGAGAGCTAGTCAGATAAGAGCCGTATGCATGAACAGCCGCACCTGAAAGAGGAGCGCAGCTTAACCGAAGGCTTCATATCTGAAGCTTTGGCCTGATTTCACGCTGTTCTAGCCCTTCCCAAGTGTTCTAATAAAGCGAAACAAAAACTCGTATAGACCGCACTTTCACTTCCTGTGTAATCCTCCCGCTGATGCCTAGCGGCACCCGTCTTTCCTTCATAATAAATTCTCTTTGTAGTTATTGGAAGCATCCCAATGTTGTTCATCTGAGACGACAATGCTAAACATGTTTCCGACGAGAACAATGAAATAATGAAAATTTCGATGAATCATGTACCTAAAATGCGGATTTCCGAAACTCCAGATTCCGAGACTTCTTCCTGCATTCTCTTCGCCGGCAGACATCTTCATGAAGTAGCCTTAAGATAAGGAGAGAAAAAGTTCAAACATGTTACGTTCCTTTTGGAATTTTGGATGAAATATTTTCAATTACACCAATATGTTGAGAAAAATTTCAGAGTTTTTTTTGAATACAAATTTGTGGTGGCAATGACAGCTGCAGAAATGCTCTCCTTTCGAGACAGAAGTGGTGATAGTCAGTTTATGAAAATCGGATTGGTTACAAAGAGAAAATAAGCAGGATACATGCTCGTGCAAGAACAACAGAATAGCAGTGCTACCATTCATTGAAGCAAAAACGTTTTTGTGGAAGTTCCAACAAGTTATTCAGTTCTCAAATGTCTGTTAGCACAAAAAGTGATCAAACTTCACTAAGCTCGGTTACTAACACCGCATTTCAAAGAACCTGCTGCATTTATCGCTTTGCTTAACACTTTTTTCACAAAATTGTACCATTCGATTCTGCCACCCGGTGGAGTAAGCTGGATGGAAAGGCTATCAAAAGCCTGTGCTATCCCTCTTATAAGGGTCCCTGTGCGAGTTAATCTTCGATTCATATGGCTTGCCTTCAGAAAGGTGGGGCTTTGTGACCTAATTGAGGCCGCTCGCGCCCGCGACGCACCTGCGTCTTTCTCGCGCGAGTCTCTCTGATCTCTACCTAAAAGGCAGTGTCCGGGCAAAAACTCGATTTTGAGATTTTGTGCTTACCTGGGCCTATCCGCTACGCTGAATCCGAAAATGCACATTTGAAAACGCGAAAACGGCGAAAAACGGCTCTAACAGAGGAGGGAAATCAGCAAGTGGGCGGGGTCTTCCCCACTGTGAATTCACGCTTCCAGCCTCCAGAGCAATTACCTCGAATCCGTTAGCCGCCCTGACATCACTACCGATCAAGTGCAAACGAATGACTTGAAATCGGAATTAAAAAGATCGCCCCCGAAGCTGGAAGCGTGAATTCACAGTGGGGAGGACCCCGCCCACTTGCTGATTTCCCTTCAGTGTTAGAGCCCTTTTTCGTCGTTTTCGCGCTCTCCAATGTAGATTTTCGGATTCGGCACAGCGAATAGGCCCGGGTAAGCACAAAATCTCAAAATCGAGTTTTTGCCCGGACACTGCCTTTAATTAGGTCACGAAGCCCCGCCTTCCCGAACCAAGCCAGTTAAATAAAATGGTACACGGTCCACCTACTAAGTGGAGGCCGAGGTATACAACTTGTTCTCGAATTTCCTGCACTGATTTGCGTCTACTCTTCCTATCTGCCCCACTTGGGAGTTTGGATCCAAACGCAGAAAAAAACCAACTTCGGTGCAGAAGAACACTGAGTTTCTGATGAATTGTTTCATTTAGACAGCTTTC